GCAGTACAAAAATTAGCTTACAAGGTGGTCAAAGGGTTAAATGCTACCTCATCAGCCTTGGCATTAATTAACCAAGAGTTACAGGAACAGAGACAGGCAATCTTAGATAATAGAGCAACAATAGACTATTTGTTGCTCCTCCACCACCAAGGTTGTAAAAGAGTAAAAAATATGTGTTGTTTCAATCTTACTGATAATGGTCCAAAGATCGAAGAAAAGGTAAAACAATTAGAAGATCTGGCTCAAAGAATATATAATGAGGATGGCAGGGACTTGTTCAAATGGTTAACTTCATGGTTGCCCAACCTACAATGGTTAAAACAACTTTTTCTTGTCATCATAGTTGTGTGTACATGCTTATTATTGTCATGTTGTTGCATACAATGGATGCCTACATTTGTGCAAAAGATTACTTAAGTTCCAAAAATCAGTGGGGAATGTGGGACTACATAACCTTTGTTCCTTTTCTCCAGCCCCACTGTGATTAAATGTGAGTTAATGGATAAAGATGCTTGTTAGTTTTGGGACACTAGATAAAATCTGTAACACACCTAAAGTCCCAAAGTAAACTACTCAACTCCTTGTTTGCCCAGAACTGATGTTCCGGACACCACAAACTATAGAACAAGCTGCAAATGTCTGCTGACCATTAATACGTGACAGTCGACCACTAACCTTTGTCCCCTTTTGTTGGGAGCAATGCTACATAATTCTAGGGGAAAATCATTTGGTTAGCCTAGTTCTCTTGCCTACAGCCCAGCTACAGAATAACTCCAGTTTGGCCTCCGGTCACAACTGAGACTTCAGTGATCCAGTGATGCTGTGATTCTCCAGGACAAGAAACATCCTGGGAGAACAAACATCTGCTCAGTTCCTCGTTGTTCTTAGACTGTTAACATCTTGTTTGCCCGAGATGTACTGAACTCTCTGCGAGCCTTCTGTTACACCTTCTATATCCCAACGTGAACTATTGAACTCTCTGCAAGTCATTTGTTACATTTGTTTCTCCCGATGTACTGAATTCTCTGCAAGTCATTTGTTACGAGGTACTGAATAAAAGGTGTGGTAAGCTGGGGGCTTTTATCTTTGCCGCCCAGAGGAGCACTGATGAGACCCAAAGCTCACCTTCTTCTCAGTCTCAATTTTCTACCTTTCCTGTAATTCACCGTGTGCTGCCGTGGCTCTCAGGAGACCAGGACTCACTGCAGAAGTTCTGGTAACGTCCCCTTCCCCTGTCCCCTACACCCTTTTCTTTAATTCTATATGTTAACTTCCCCCTCAACCCCCTATAAGAACAGCCTCGGACTCTGAGCCAGTTGCCTCTCTAAGCTATTTTGCTTTGGGAGTGCCATCTGGCCAGACTAATAAAGGTCTGTTTTACTTTCCAACTTGTCCGGTGTGTTCCTTCCCAGGTGTTCTTCGCTGCCGTCAGTTCCTCGGAGCGTTTGGTAAGGCCCTCGGTCTTACACATAACTAAAGAACGAATGCGGGAGGGACATAAAACAACATCAAGCAAACAAACAAAAAAAGACTTTATTACTGATGTGGAAAAGCAACCTGCCTCACTATCCTACTGGGGACTGAAACTGGGGAGTATTGAGTTATATCCCCAGTCCTTTCAATGTATTTTTAAATTTTGAGATGTGCTAAGTTGCCCAGGATTGCCTTAAACTTGTGATTTCCTGCCTCAGCCAAGTAGCCAGGATTATAGGCATGTATCACCAACTAATTTGCACATTTTTTGATGTTCTTATTGCAGATAAGCTGTGTATATTTATTAAGACTAGAACCTTAGTTTGACAATATTTGGTTACCCAGCCATTTTGACTACTTTATATGTTTGAAAAAAGCACTGACTACTGTTTACAGTATTCCGTATCTCACATTATCCTTAATTTTAGTTGGTTTGCCCTCACTTTTTTGCAAAGAAACTATATTAATCAACTTTGCATAAAGAAGTTCTTGAATAACAGACAATGGTTATGATATCTACACTGAAATTATATTCAATTCTTAAATTGTTTGGTAGCGCAAATAAGTAATGTCCCTAAATCAAATGCATAAATCATGTTTTATGAACTATATCTGCAGCAGGGAAGGCACTCTGGCAGAAGACCAATTTTAACTGGTGAAAGAAAATACAGTATCTTTAGGAGAAATACAGTACACCAACTTTTAGATTGCTACAATAATAATTCCCTGAAGAAAGCATAAACTCTGTAGAATCTATTCCCTCAAGGAACTTAAACCAATAGAATGCTCAAATATAGATATTTTTAAAATCTTTTAATTACTCATTTTGAAAGGAAATGAGCAATCTGGTGCCGGCAACAAAATTTCCGTGGGGGTAGAGAAATCTCAAAACTATTTCTCCACTGAATCAAGATATTGCTAGTCTCCAAGAAAAATGTAGGACAGTTTAGGTTCAAATGAATTCCACTGTGCCACAGTAATTACTGGGTGCCCCAAGGCAATGGTGACAGCCTGCCTTTGGGAAGCTGCCCAGGGGCAGAGAACAAGGTCATGGGAAGAATCAGTGATGTCAGGAACAAAACAGCTCCAAGAAGGGTTGTACTGGCTGCCCTGGTCTTGCCACGGAATAGGACATCAACAAGCATTTCTAGGACCTTGTCACAGGTGTTGGGAACTCCCCAAATATCAGGCACAATAAGTATTAAAAAAGGGCACATTCCAGTTTCAAAATATATTACAAAGATCTCAAAACATATTTCAAAGAGAAAGATTATCTAGGCTAGGGGACAGAAGGCCTAATGCTGAGTCACTTGTCTCTTTCCCTACATATTCACTTTCACCCTTGAGAAGAATTTAAAACTTTTCCTTCCTTACAGTGCTGCTGTGAAAGAAGTAGAAATAGCAAATAAACATATGAAAAAATGTTCAATATCACTGGTCATTTGAGAGATGCAAAGGAAAATAACGCTGAGATTCCACCTTACCCCAGAAAGAATGGCTTCTATCATGAAATCAACCAATAATAAATGCTGGCAGGGCTGTGAGGAAAGAGGAACCCTGCTCCACTGCTGGTGGGAGTGTAGACTGGTGCAACCACTGTGGAAATCGGTATAGAGATACCTCAAAGAACTAGAACTGGAAGCCCCATTTGACCCAGCTATTCCCCTGCTGGGTATCTTCCCAAAAGAATTAAAAGAAGCATACCACAGTGATTTATGTGCACCCATGTTCATAGCAGCACAATTTGTAACAGCTAAAACTTGGAAGCAGCCCAATTGCCCATCAACTGGAGACTGGAAAAAGAAAATGTGGTTTTTTAATAAAATGGAGTACTACTCAGCCATAAAAAATGAGAAATTAGAGACATTTATAGCTAAATGGATGCACATTGAGGTGATACTTTTAAGCAAAATAAACAGGACACACATGTATAAATACTGAATAGTTTCTCTAGTGTGAGAAACTGAAAGTGTAAATAAGGACTAAAAGGTATAATAGATAATGTGAAATAGGAAGAAAGGGGCAAAGAGGAAGGGGAAGTGGGAGGGGTAGGGGAAAGGAAAGAAGGGAATGGAATTAATATGAAAAAATGAAAAAATGGAAACAAAATCTTTGTAAATAGGGAGGGATGGAGGAGTTGAAGGGAGGGCAGGGGGAGGGGGAAAAAATAAGAACCAAGAGAGTATGTAAAGGTGCAAATTTCCAATGATGAATGTCATTATATTGTATACCTAAAATGTACCAATGAAATAATATAAAAAAATGCTACTGTAATACATGAATATGTAACATGTAGAGAAAACTTTAAAAATTGAAATGTTGCACAAATAGATTATTACTATACCCAAAGGATGGCAAATTTACCAATGATTATTTTATAACATGAATAGTTTTCTAAGTAATTACAAAAATAAAACAGGATCTAGCTACATCCCTTTAGAGAGTTACTATGCAAAGTCATGACTTGATGAGTTAATATGTAATACTGTTTCAAACGTAGCATCATATAATAAATGCCCAGCCTTTCACCTAACTCTGTAAGGCTGGGAGGTATCAGCAGTCTTACCTCTCAGTTTTCCTAGAAACTGAGACAGGAACCCCATTCCTGGAGGTTGGTCCTCCTCAGGATCCCTGTAGACCACCCCAAAAAAGCACCATGCAAAGGACAAGGTCACCAGAAAGATGCGCTTTATAATATCACAAGGCACAGCCCAGTGTTATTTCAGAAACAGACAAAATTTCAACAGGCAAAAAGTAAATAATTGAATAACAAGAGAACAAAGGAGTGAAATAGTATATCAGAGATATGTTTTAAAATACTGTCCCCCTCTCTCCTCCAGAACAAATAAGAGAAGAGGAAAGAAAGAACAAGAATCACAGAAAGTTGATTGTTAACACTGGATTTATGAGGATATGGAAACATTTCACTATTCATGTTTCATTTTAAAAATTGCCATAAGATTCCTAAACTGAAATTTAATCTGGTATGAGCCCAATTTGTCATTTTCTAAAATTTTTTAAAATTTCTTTATTGGTACATTTTAGGTATATAATACATTTACATTTATCATTGGGTGTTTGTACCTATACATGATGAATCTTGGTTCTTATTTTTTCCCCATTACCTGTGCACCCTTCATCCCCTCCACCCTTCCCTATTTACATAGAT